CTCATTATATAGAGTGGATAAGCAGCCGGTTGCATCCCGCCTCTCTCTCTCTCTCTCTCTGACACATTGTGCCCTCACCGGGGGACGAGCCGTGCGTCCGGATGCAGGCTGTGTCTGCCAGTTTCAGCTCGGTTGACTAGTAACGTACGGCTTCATTTGTAACAAAAGTTACACTCGCAAATATGCTAGCAAAAATAAACATTCCGTTCTCTTCCATGCTTTTATCTCACTGTCGAATTAGAGAATAAAATTCTCTTGCATGCGTTTTTCAGCGTTCTGTAAATGGTATTAGAAGTTGGACAGTTTGTATGAACTCGAGAAATGCAAACAACTTTTTTTTTCATATATTCGCCATCTTTCTCTTTCAACTTATTTACTTTGGAGATGGGCAGTGTACAATTACGACGGTGTTTCCCCCAGGTATCAAATCCGTGGCCCTTTCCGGAGATTGTTTACTCTTTTTGGCACTAACTAGTGACCCCTCGGAAACAGATGCTTTTAAGAATAATTGCAGCAGACACTTTACGATTATTCTACAGCAGGAGAATAGAACACTTCAAGGAAAAAGGAATTTAAAATATGACTACACGTCTTATAATTATTGTATTTGATTTCAGAGAAACGCTGTCTTTAATGTAGGCCTTCGGTTAGGAATACAGTTTTAATGCCATGGTGCTGTCGTCTTTGAGGAGATAAGAATCACTTAGCTGATGAATAAAAACTCCCCAGTTTTTAAGTAACCCGAATGTTGATTACAGTGCCCTGGAACTTGTCCTGAGCCGGATGAATTTCATCCACGCTGTCATATATTTTCTTAACGTAGGCAAATTTGTTGCATTAGCCTTTTTCATTCTGGAGGAACATATTACCTCCTATTTCAGATTAAAGTCACGACGTTACATCCCAGAAAACCAAAGTCGACGTTTTTACCACCGTGAGAACCTCATATTTCCGATTAATAATTTGTAATTTGTCACTAAATATAATTAGGGTGATAAAGTCAGTGAAGGCGACATGGGTGGGACATGTAACACGCATGGGTTCAGTCCAAAATCCTAAACTGACGGATCCATTTGGGTGATCTGGCATAAATCACGTATTAAAATTTATTTTAAATAAATAATATTTGAAAATGTGGACTAAATTTACCTGGCTCGGGATAGGATCCAGTGACTAGGTCTTATGAACACGATAATGGACCTTCGGATTGCTTGAAAGCAGATAATTTCATGACTTGCCTCGTTTCTCAAGAAGATCGATTAATTTGTTGCGTGTTGAAAGCAGCATAAGCTATGGAGCATAAAACATCTGAGGGTGTGCACGAAGGGACTCGCTGACTATTAAATTTTACATAACTTTTATGCAAACAGTCATGTTACGAAAGTAAAACCACGTTTGTGCATGAAGATTGCATTTTATAGTTGATATCTCATTTTGTGTACAGTCTCGGTGTAAGTTAGTAGACCATTTCTATCCGTTTACTTAATACTGAGTCCTTTGGTTATGGAAGAAGGAATGAACTGCGTTGTGGGTTAGAACTTTGAGTATTAAACGTTCGCGGAGCATCGCAGGCTATTTTTCACGTCTTCCGCGCTATTAATAAATTATTTGATTTAATTTTCATATACTTTAGACTGTCTTTATGTGAATAAGTCCTTTATCTGCGGTAGAGTCTGTGAAAATTGTAACCTGGGCGAGGTCTCAGGTGGTTATAAAACTTCTCACAAATAAAATTGTAATCCGATTATGGCTACAAATAAAAAAAAGTCAGTAAAATGTAACATTTCGCTCGCACACTGTATTCAGAGCGAGTGTTTGTCTGTGGGAATCCTGAACAACTGTCTCTCGTGAATATAGAGCTGTGAAAACAATTGGTTATAATAGTTACCTTCAAACTCTTCATCCTGTGACACCTGTGTTATTCAGAATTATTGTGATGTGTTTCCGAAATAAAAGCTTTGGCCTCAAGAATTCTTATTTCAACAGCGAAGCTTTTTCTTTGTTGTAAATGTTGGCAGAAAATTTGACTGCCCCTCCCCCCTTAAAAGCCGAGTGCGTACTGTGGGTCCTTTCCCCGGGGGTCAAACGGGTACGGGGCGAGATTCTGACCACTAGCCCCCCTCCCCTCTAGTGCTTGACTTAGGGATTAGGGTTAAGACAGCAAAGTAACATGAACGTAAGAAATTATATTTAAGTTTATATAATTTTATACACCTGAAGATGGTTCTTTTAGAACTGAAACATGTCGTGTAAAAAAGTGATGATCTAATGTAAATCGAACATTTCGATAGAGAATATCATTTAATATATTTTAAATATTTAAATGTTAATTATGGTAATATTTTAATATTTAATAGGAATTTTATTGTGATTAGACTGATAAGATTTAAACAAATATATATTTATCACAATATGACGCAACTTTATCATCTCATGAACGTAAGGCTTTTACATTGTACCTGGTCATTATGAGGTCAGGATTGTGGGATATGTCATAAAGGGAACAATTACATTAACTTTACTACAACAGAGAAGTTACCAATTAAGCCCTAGGTCAACGTGCGCTGAACTAAACTTTTAATACTGCCATGGTTTAGTACAATTCATCATAAAAGATGGCGACAGATTTCTGTGAAGGAACTGAGTGATTAACACAGAGAATTAGATGTGCCTAAATTACTCATACTTGCCATCTTTGCCATCGTGACTGTACATATTACGTATTGACGGAGTATATTCTCAGTGATGACACTAGATGGCAGAATGTCTTGCTTTTCAAGTGATGCTGCTATTAGGCAGTTTTAGAATTCTTTATAATACGGGTGTGAAAACATTGGAAAAGCATTACTAGTAATACGTTATTATGATTTATTGTTGTTGTTTTTCTTGTGAACAGAAAGTTAGGAAAAGAATACGGGAGCCAGGCCTGAAGAAGATGAAGGTAGAGAAAGGACAGAGGAAAGAGGAAAATGTAGTTAGGGATGAATATGTGAAAGAAATCATTCTGCATTGAATTTAAACAAGCTCTTTTCACCATTAATATACATTATTCAAGTTTTGACACAATTATATACTAGTGCAAAATCAAATTACGTTTTGTTGCTTATATTTTTATCAGTGTTTAATTTTAACTTTACATTCTCTCTCCTGCCTCCATTGTAAAACGAGATATTTTGTTCTGTTCAGTTTTAGTAATAAATCGTATTATCGTTATTACCAGGGAATAAACACAATCGGTTTATTTGTTTTATTATCGATACTCTGAGTCTCGCTATACATTGAAGGATGACATTAAAATAATGTCGCAACGAGCTGCAGTTAAGCATAACCTGAAGTTTAAAAGTATTAAATTTCTATGCACTGACATACGTATGTCAGCATTTGTATATGGCTGCTATGTTACCATGCAACACAGCGACGAACTCGATGCCTTCAGTCAACGTCGTGAGCCATCTATGATACTGAATGTGTTTTTGAAAGAAACCGCATTTGTTTCCTCTACTGTGCTGTTTATAGAGCTTTCGCTAATATTCCTGCTACTGGTGTGGGTTTTCTGGGTGTCTGGCATGATCAATGTATTAACTTCTCGTTTCTCAACAGATGAAAGTAGTTAGGGCTCTTGAACAAAATTGTGTGAATTGTCGTGAAAATATAATAATATAGAGTGAACAAACCAACAACTATTAACACTATAATGGACGCTATTGCCATACGCGTTTCGACCTCAAGAGATCATCATCACTGGCATCAGGGAAATTAATATATATAGTCAAATAGTTCGAGCAAATTTCATAATTAAAATAAAAGGTAATTGACAAGATGACTGCACAATTACATTTTATTTTAATTATGAAATTTGCTCGAACCATTTGACTATATATATTAATTTCCCTGATGCCACTGATGATGACCCCTTGAGGTCGAAACGCGTATGGCAATAGTGTCTATTATAGTGTTAATAGTTGTTGGTTTGTTCACTCTATATTCTAATACACTACACGGTATGCAAAGTTTTAAGTGAAAATATAAGCTTAATAACAGAGGGGGATTAACGTTTTGAACGGAAATAGTCATTCTTAAAGTGAACACACTGTATAATGTGGCTTTCATTATAATTCCATGTTTAGTGAATCTGTTTGTTACTAATTTGATTGACCTAGTCTGTGTTCCGACATTAAGCCGGTTATAATTTGAAATGGAAGAGTAGATACATCTGATTTTGTAGGCATTATTAACAAAACAACAGCTATAGGCCCAGTTCGTATTGCTATAGTAAATATACCCGTATAAGCTTACAGCTAATCGTTTTATTATACTACAAAGTATTGCATTTATCTAATAACTGATCCATACAGCCTAATTGCGATGAGTTATTGAATTAAATACCTTCATGTTTACCGTATAATCCATGAATCAGAGTCATTTCCCTTTGATACTGTGTTATAGCCTGATAATTAGAATCTAATAAACAAATGTATCAGTTGAAAAGAAATGAGACAACGTTACTTATGTTCGTGTATTTTTATTTGTAATGAAGTGGAGAGCGGACGACTGTAAATAAATTTTATTTCAATGCACTTATTAAAAAGGTAAGTATGAGGTCATGAAATGTATCTTTATCCAGTGCACTGAATTGACGGCGTCGTCGTTCAGATTTATTGTCAAGATGGCAAATTTCCTTTTTTCCGATCCCCATAAATATTACCAGAATATTTTTGTTACATAATATATAACCGTCCTTCATAATTAATTTAACGAATAGGCTTCTTTGTATTGGCAGATTCTGCAGTCAAAATGTGAAAAAATATCTTATTAATTACTTAAAATTATATTAATAAAATTAAAAAGTATTTACTTATTTAAAACAGTATATCGGCTGCATTAATTAAATATTGTCATCAGCTTCGTCCTTTTGTGAGTAAAGGGGTTCATGTGTAGAAGTCAATGTTGCATTCTAAACGGAACGTCCTGTATATTCGTGGGCTGTATTTTTGTTTCAGAGTTTACCTCAAACTCCGCAGTCTGGGAAGAGTTTCAGCGCTCTGTTGAATGGTGGCGCCCCTGGTGAACACAGTTCAAGTATCGAGTCTGTTCCTGAATCGGGATCTCACCCAGATCATGTAAGTGAGCTTTGCATAACGTCGGAGATTATTACGCTGCCCATCAACGTTCTGTATGCTTACTTTTAAAATATATTAACCAGTTGCCCTGTCAGAGACGAAGAAGCCCCAAACTTAGGGCGTAGGGTATGATAATATGCTACTTGGCCAGGGCTGTCACACACCTCGTGGGGCGGTGATAGATGATGATGAATCAGTGGTGGAATGATGATTAAGGGGTTAAATCCGAATAAATCAGGACGATCTGTTCCATGTCACTTCGTCCATCACGAGTCTTCAATTTCTGCAAGACAATGTCATTATGTAGGCCTATAAGAATAGATGTAATATTTTAAATCCTTACACTTCTCACTTTTCTCTCCCCAAATATGGGATAGATCGCTGACCATTACACCGCCTCTATGGGCGCGTATAACATATGGTCACCATCGAGGGTCTGGTGTGGCTTCTGTGTTGAATGATAGCCCGAGGTTTGTTTCTTGGCAGAGACTATAAATTTTAAAGCTCATGCACTTGTAATAGGAGTCACCGTCGTCCGTGTGTGTGTGTGTGTTCGATCTTCTTCTCATGCAATAAACATCTTGCCGTACCTTCTGGACCTCTACGCAATCTGCAACTTTATGTGCCCTCTGGATCAGGGTTCAGAGTTCACGGTACTTGAGCCCAAAGGCGTGTTGACAACAGTTCGGGTTGCACGTGACCCACAGAAGACTTGGTTCTATTTGTCGAGACATTATAGAGGCAAAGTTGTGAAATAGGCATGAATCCAATCCTGTTCCCGTGATATCCATTCCTGTGTACGCCAGTAGCTTCCGTGTTGTCTGTTCCCAATCAGACTTTGTATGCATTTCTCCTCTCCCCATTGATTTCATGGTGATGACGGTATTCGATGAATAAACTAGTTATGAAGGTCCGCTTTATGGATTATTCTGCAGCCTCAGTCCCTTGTCACATCATCCCTCTTGGGTCCAGACGTCCTTCTAAGCACCGTGTTCTCAATCTCTTCTGATCTGACAGAAATGTAATTTCGTGTTATGCTAGTCTAAAATCGAATAACAGAAGAAACCTTTGGTTAAAGTCTTTCCCTGCTGGAGCAGAGTAAGTTTTAGCGATTAATGGAAGATATGAATATCGCATTTTAATCTGGTTTTATTAATCGTTTATCTGTTCACCGTGCTGACCTGCCTACATCGGATCACATACTAGGATAATAAATATTCGTCCCCACGCACTTCCTAATTCTCGTGTTATGAGACAAACTCCAAATGCATATTTGATGGGAGACAGGAAATGCGTACAGACTTTTTGAATAGAAACCCGTTCGAATGCAGTCAAATGAAAGAGAAGGCGGGAAGGTAACAGACCATACAAAGTTGGTTTCAGAGCATTTAGTTTCGTTGTTGAAGCAGAAAACTTTGTTCGTTTCGGGAGATACCAGCTTCGGATCTTGATGTGATCAACTTCTACCGTGATTTTACGCAGTATCTTCACGTTGTCAGAACAATGTATTGAACAAGCCAGGATTGTCTGTTTCCAAATCCGTGTACCCACTGTTAAAGATTATCCTTTAAACTCATTAAAGGCATTGTAACTTGTGTAATTGAAGTAAAGTATTTTAAATAACCTAACAATCAATATCAGTTGTTGTGAAGATATTAACTTGATGAAAGTGCTAGAGGGTAATTTTCTTTTGCGGTAATGAAGCTTTTAATTTGATTATAAGTGTTACTTATATGCTGATTTATGTAAGAAAATTACATCCATTCTTCAACTTTTTGTACGCTAAGAACATCATCGGCATAATTTCGGTGTGTTACAAAAATTATTTCCGCCTTTTTGCGTCATTTTGTATTGTTTCGTCATCGTAAATTTCTCAAGGCATCGTCAATAGGAAATTAAATTAATTAAGCGTGAAAACTGTTAGACGTGGCCTATGTTTAAAGAAATTTTAAAACTGTTGATTTCACAGTAGGCGAAGGTGTATTAATATTCATTTGATAATTTCAGTATTCCAAGGATTGTAGCAAATTGCCTTGCATTGTGTATACACACATTTTCGACACGTTTACTCCCATGTCTTCTCAAAGCAAGTCGTTCGGTGTGTGATGTATTCATTATCCGCTATGTAATTCAGTATTCTACTTCTGATACTCAACAGTTCTAAATTAAGTACCTGGGATTTATTACAGAAACAACAAACGCGGAGTTGATGAGGCATTATGAACTCCCAAGTACCTCGCCATTTGTGCCTTCATGTTAAAGGAAAGTTACGTAGCTTAGTTTGGGTATTATAACTCAACGAATTTATAGTCCACAGCTTGCATTTAGTCGATATTCAGAGCAACTCGACTACTCTCGAGAGAAAGCGGACAGGGGATTAGACAGTAGCCGGGATTTACAATGTTTACTGTAAACTGTGACGTGTATTAACGGTTCATCCTTCTGGCTGCACGTTTTTAAGGAGGCCATTGTTTCACGTGTAGCAGAATCTGCTACCACTAATTCTAATGTAGCCTAAGGGGTCGTTGGTTGTATTTTACATCACATTCTACTAATATTCTCTCCATTTTCGACCCACCCCTACCCCACCAGCGCAGTTGCAAAATTCAGTGGCCCAGCGACGAAGGAATTATTAATGTTACGTGTTCAAATCCAGTTTAAGGAAAGGTTTTAATTAGGACTTCGGTGATCAGCCAAGCTGATACGAGAAAATCTGCTACATCTAGGACACTTGTCTACGTTATCAGAGACTGTGAATGAACACAGTTCCCGAAACATCGACTGTGATTGTGGGGTCAGTAACAAGCGTAATTCAATAAAACGGTCTCATTCGGAGTGATATAAACTGTTAATAAATTATATATTTTTTATTTTTAGGCGTTCTTTAGGTTACGTCAGTGACCTTGGATACAGTTGTTGCATTTGATGTTCCTTTGGTTGTCCTTTTGACGTAAAGCCGGTGACAAGGCTTAAAGAACACCCTTAGAATTTCAGTGTATTCCATTATTAAGGTAGCTTCTGAATCAAGATGTACCTACTGTTATGGAAATTACTGTATTATACAGTAACCTTTTAAGCTTTTGTAGGCAGAGAGATAAAAATAGGATGTGAAATTGCATGCATGAAATATTCAGACGTGTTATCACGTATTGTCACACAAGCGAGTGTTTGTGGTGCGTGTTGGATGTTGTGTGGGACACAACGCTTGTGCAATGTGTAGAAAGTAAATACATTAGTTGTGCTGTTATTTTAACCCTTCCAGATCACAGCAGTTAGGGATACGGGAATTTATAGGATTCGTGACTTAACTGGGTAATAATAAGGTGACAAAACATTAATTGTTATATTTGTTTAAATTTTGTCAGTCTAATCACAATAAAATTCCTATTAAATATTAAAATATTACTAAAAATTAACATTTAAATATTTAAAATGATGTCGCGACGTTTTCCATTTCGACCCCACCGCAAGAACGCAGGAACGATTCTAAGACAATTAAAATAATATCTAGAGTGATTTTAGAAAATCGACGCCTGGCGTCGCGACGCTTATACTTACGACGCCTGCAAATAACTTAAAATTGACAGCAAAATGGTCCCAGATGATAATAATTCCTCAAGTACAAAATCGACGCCGAGCGTCGCGACGCCTAGTGACGCCAAAAGAGGCATATAACTATGATATGACATTCGAAATAATACTAGAAAAACGACGCCAAAGGTAGCGACGCTTCCGAAAGACAAAATTTTACGAAAGACGGCGCACAAACCTAACCTAACCTAACCCAACTTAACCTAACCTAACCTAACCTACATCACCAAATTCCTCTTTCACTTTATTCTTTCTCCTCTCCTGTCTTCTTTTGGCAAAGGGTCGCGACGCAGAACATTACGATGCCCTCAAGAGAAGCCAAATTTACTGCGGAAAAGTCTCCTGATTGAACTGGAGTCATACCATTATATCGACGCCGAGCGTCGCGACGCCTACCATTTCTACCCCACCGCAAGAACGCAAGAACGATTCTAAGAATTAAAATACCATCTAGAGCGTTTTTAGAAAATCGACGCCCGGCGTCGCGACGCTTATACTTACGACGCCTGCAAATAACTTAAAATTGACATCAAAAAGGTCCCAGATGATATTGAATCCTCAAGTACAAAATCGACGCCGAGCGTCGCGACGCCTAGTGACGCCAAAAGACATATATCTATGATATAACGTTCGAAATAATACTAGAAAAACGACGCCAAAGGTAGCGACGCTTTCGAAGGACGAAATTTTACCAAAGACGGCGCACCAACCTAACCTAACCTAACCTAACCTAACTTAACCTAAGCAAACCTAACCTAACCCAACCTAACCTAACCTAACCTACATCTCCATAATCCCTCTTTCACTTTCTTCTCTCTCTGCTGTCTTCTCTTGGCCAACGGTCGCGACGCCGAACATTACGATGCCCTCAAGAGACGCCAAATTTACTGCGGAAAAGTCTCCTGATTGAACTGGAGTCATACCAGAATACCGACGCCGAGCGTCGCGACGCCTACCATTTCGACCCCACCGCAAGAACGCAGGAACGATTCTAAGACAATTAAAATACTATCTAGAGCGATTTTAGAAAATCGACGCCCGGCGTCGCGACGCTTATACTTACGACATCTGCTAATAACATAAAATTGACAGCAAAAAGGTCCCAGATGATATTGAATCCTCTAGTACAAAATCGACGCCGAGCGTCGCGACGTCTAGTGACGCCATCGAAAGTCGCCAAAAGAGGCATATATCTATGATATGACGTTCGAAATAATACTAGAAAAATGACGCCCAAAGTAGCGACGCTTTCGAAGGACGAAATTATATAAAGACGGCGCACCAACCTAACTTAACCTAAGCAAACCTAACCTAACCAAACCTAACGTAACCAAAAATAACCTAACCTACATCACCATAATCTCTCTTCTCTGCTGTGTTCTCTTGGCAAAGGGTCGCGACGCCGAACA